GCGCCGCCAAATCTCAGCTCGTCGGGCCCAGCGGCGCCATAAACCGGAGGACGCCGGCACTCTCGACGCGCGAGAACCCCTTCGCAGCTGCTGAGCGCCGCGGACTGGGCGATGGGATCCTCGCGAATTTAGCGCATATCGTTCTTTGCCATCGGACCTGCTTGCTTGTTCTCTATCGGGGGCGGGCGCCGAGCACCATCAACGCGCGGGGTTTTGAGCACCCGGCCATCGACTTTGGTTTCGCCCCCCCCAACTCCATTGGACTTCCTGGATTGATCTCCTCCTGCGCAAGATATCCCGACTCGGCCAGCTGCGTCTGAGCGCGCGCATCGGCCCCAATCCAATCGATCTTGATCTTTGCCCTGATATTGCGCAATACAGCTCCTGCTTCTGAAGCGCTCGCGTCCAAAACTTTCTGGGGTGATCCAGATTCTGCGCTCGAGCTGCGATCGCGCGCGAGAGAAAACCATCGTCAACTGCCGCGCCTTGCCCCTGACTTGTCTTCGCGATTTCGCATCCACGCTTTCGCTCCAGGAAAACTGCAACTTGAATCGAGTCACGATTGCGCGCTGAACTGCATTGCCAGAGGTCACCCTGGCCTGTTTTGAAACTCCCACGAACATACCCCGTTCACAACGCAACCAATCTTGTATTCTGAGGAAACAGCTGCATGCGACTAAGTAAGCAATGCCCTCATCTATGCAGCGAGATAGACAAGCCTGATTTGCAACGCAATAGATCACATCGATGATTGCTGGCCCCCCTTTTCTCAAGATTCTTGAAGCTTTTCTCCACTGCGTAGCGCGCGCAGTGGCGTTGGCAACTCGGACGTCCATTCTGGAAGCATGCGAATAAGCCCACGATAGAATCGCACTCCTCGAGAAAGAGGAGGTTTCTCGGCAAGGCATCCGCTGTCCAGCTCTGCGGCCAGGGCGACGCCTCACTCCGCCGGCGTCGAGAAGGGGAGTCTTCCGAGGCGGACGCTCATTAGGAAGGGCCCCACCCATCTTTGACGCGGCTGACTCCTGCATCATCTTGGACCGCGCGAACCAGCAACCGAGGAGAGGCCCCCAAGGCACCTGAGCCCAACGACGTGCTTGAGACTGGGGGGGGTCGCGCGCAGCGCTCGCACGGCCGCCGAGGCAAGTCTGTTCTCTGGAGACAGCGCGGGCAGAGACGCGGCAGCTGGCAATGCCAGCCCCGGGCGCAGTCGTCGCGCACGCCCTCCGTCTCCAGCACCTCGCCGAACAGCCGCTCGAGCTGTAAATCGCGCTCCCGCGCCGCCCTCTCGCGCGCGGCCGCGCCCCTGGCGCTCTCGGCGCCGCCGACGCCCCCGCCCCGGGACGGCCCGACCGCGGGGCCCGTGTCCGCGAGGGCCCAGCTCAGCGCAACTCTCTGACGCCAGCGGCCAACGTCATGGCTCCGATGTTCTTCAGCTGCGCCGTCGACGGTCGAGAAGGGCCCTCAATTCTTCGCGCTGCGCCGACCGCCACACCACTGAATCGCAAGAAGCCAAGAATCGATGGAATACATTCCTCGAAGAACGACGCACACATGCCGAGGCAGTGTCACAACTGCCCACAGCTCTCGCACGGCGATGCAGACCTGATGAGCACAGACCCTGTTCCACGATAGATGTCAAAATGACGTATCTGCCCAGTGGCTCATCACCGCGATCGGCCTCTGGGGAGGAGAGCAGCGCCCCTCCGCTCGCCAGTCGCGCGGCACGAGGCCCCTGCTCGAGACTGCCTCGACGATGCATGATGCGCACGCGCTGCGCAGGCGACCTGGCTGCACGGGTGCCAGACGGGTCCACAGCTGTCCCTGAGGACCGCGGCCTCGAGGCTCTTGATGGACGTGGCCTCGCGAGCAACGGCACTCCAGCTCCTCGAGCCCTGGGACACTGGTAGGGGTCCGAGCCGGTGCCGCTCATCTCGCTCCAGATGAGCAGCAAACAGCTTCAACCAGAGATGCCTTGGGGGCCTCCAGGAGCTCGATCGGCCCAGGGAGGCCCCGGATCAGCGACGCCCTCGGGTGCTCGAGCGAGAAGCCGATGCCGGCCGCCAGGCGCACGTCACAGATGGAGACGGGCTGCCTGCGCAAAAGCGTCTCCCCCCCGAGCGCATCGCACCCGGGGGGCGACAGCCCGGGGAGCCTACGCACCCATCGACCTGGTGCTCGCAGAGGCCGCCGTCGGGCTCTCGAGAGAGACGAGCACGGAGGGGCCAGGTGGGCCACGGAGGAGGAACCTCGCAACGCGGGTGAAAGTGACGCTTGCACAAATACTCCAGATTTCGTAATAAAAGGGAGGGGGTCTGGACCCTCCAAGACGAGCCATTTCAGACCTCCCCCGTGGGAGAACCCTCCAAAACATCGTCCCCAGACCCCCCCAGGCCTTCCAAGATAGCCTGGAAGAGACCCCCTCCGAAATGAGACCCCCCTCCCTTCATTACGAAATCTGGAGCACTCTCGCACAGTGGGAGGCCAACCCTCCCCGCAGAAAACGGAACACCATCAGGGCCAGAGGAAAAGTCAACACGAGTATGTAGTACGTGGGCAAGAGTCTGTTTGCTGATGGTCCAATGGTAAGCTTGGTGCGTGTACGTGGTGTACTGATATTCATCGTAAGGGATACAAGAGGGGAGAAAAAATAGAGAAAACGCTCCGCTTCTGTTATGCACCATGTGGTAGCCCAAAAGGTATCCCTCCAATACCGCCTGGGCTCCTCAGCACCTGTCACTTGGTCGGCAATGGCGTGCCAATCCAGGTCGAGGACCGCATGCGACGTAATCCGTCGCCTGGTGGCGGCCCACGCTGTGGACAACAGCTCGCGTCGCGCAGTGTGTCGGTCCCGCCCCTTGTCGAGCAGATCATGCTGTCGGAGATTCGACTGCTGACCCGCCAGCTCGGCGCGGGGGAGTTCTGCCAGATACCTCTCAAAGCCAGGCCTGTCGGTCCGGCAGCGCAGATCACGGTCATGGCAGGGGCGCAGGGTCGGGTGAGCAGCCGGAGCCTGCTGGACAGCCAGACGATTCCGTCGAGCAGCCTGGGGGCACGAACGAGCCGCAGGCACATCGACATCTTCTCGGGTCTCATCGTGGCGACCTTGCTGAGCACCTCACGTCGGGTTCGCCTCGCAGCGCAGTGCATCGCACCTTCGGTTTCGAACAGTCGTTCACGCGGGTTTTCGGGGAGATCAGCGTCGGAGAGTACGTCGTGAAGGACAGCATAGAAATGGGGATATTTCGCCACCCAAGGGGCAAATATAGGAGTACCGTCGGGTAGGGCCGTCGGAGAGAGACGTAGAAAGAGGGGGGCGTGGTCACAAGGCTTGGACAAGTTAAGGATGTTCAACACCGTCGAAATTTCGGGATTGCGATCGAGGGGGCGGGGGTCGAGATAGACGTGTAGCCGGCGCACGGTGGGTAAAAACAGTTGGCACTATCTCCACCAGTCCAGGCAGAGTCTCGTGAAAGGCGATCGCGAGCAGATGCGAAATAGCACGTTGCCACCCATCCTCAAGACCAAGAATGCTGTCGCCAAGCTCGTGGACACTGAAATCCCCCCAGGACGAGAACCGAACCTGTAGCTGCGTTGGCCACGCATTGTCTGCACCATTGGGTCGGAAGGCCTGGCGGGAGGTCAACGGAGGAGGAGGAGGAGGAGGAGGAGGAGGAGGAGGAGGAGGAGGAGGGAGGAGGAGGAGGAGGAGGAGGAGGAAACTACCTCCTCGCGCCGGTGTCGGACCGCATGTCCAGGACTTTGGCCCTGCCTGTTGCCAGCGCCACGGAGGCGTGGTCAGAGCAAACAGGCCCGGCAGCGAAGGAGGCCTGACGCTCGCTTTTTTCCACCGCAGACACCCAACCAGCACACAGCAGGCCACAGTGAATCACACCGATCCCGCTGCACACCGACTGCGGCCTGTCAGCTTGCTGACTGTCCGCGGCGCCGTCTGTCCGCTCGAGGGGAAGCAGGAGGCAATGCGGTGGAACTCTTGTGGCCCCATCCCTACCTGTCATACCTGCCCTCTGATGCCCTACCTGACTCTCGTCGTTGCCCCTTCTCACAGAATGCGTTCCCATCTTCTTGTCCCATGGTCGTGAGGCTTGGAGGCGTACCACATCAAAATCCGCCAGCATGTCTTGGCGCATGCGAGGGTAGGACGCTTTGTTTCATGGTCTCCGCCCAGATCTCCACATCACAAGCTTTAGTTTCGAGGCAGGTAGGAACTGACACCTGGCACCACCTGCCGAAGATTAAGTAGAGGACGCACTGGAAAAGGTAAAGAGCTGGTCGAAAAAGACGGCCCAGACGAGGGAGCACAGGAACAAGCAAAACGGCAGGAGGTTTGGAGACGTTCAGGTCCCGCTGGCGTCGAAGTTGGAGTATTTCCAAGCACTGACTCTCGTGCATAGCCCTACTCATCCTCATCCGCAAGCTAGACTCAAACACTCAAACGTGTATGTATCCTGGGTGTGCTTGGTTGCTGTCACAAATGACCACACATCCAAATCCGTGTTGATGCACAGCACTCCGTAGATCCCGTCCACTCCGAGAATCGGGTTGCTGGCCCGTTTATCGCTCTGTTGCAGCGGCGGTTTGAACGTTAAGTATAGGTTGTGGAAGGCACTTCTCATGTCCCTCACCTCCTACGGCATGTGAGCCTTGATGCGCAGGAGTTGCCGTTGGCCATCCCAGGGATCTTGCCTTGACAATGCGCTGGAGGTCCTTGCCTGTCCGCTCGCTATCGAAATGGATCGAGTATGTCTATGAGACGACAGCGTCGGTTTAGCTCCTTCCGTCAAAACGGGAGCTGGATCGAGATGTCTGTGAGAGTATGTCTATGAGACAACGTGGAACGTCTGGGGGACGGCATGGAACGTCGGAGGAGGAGAGAGGAGGAGGAGAAAGAGAAGGGAAGGGGAGGAAGAGGTGGAGGGGAGAGGATGATCCCCGAACGATCTCCATCGGCCAGACGCCGCTTGCGCGGGTGGGGGCGCGGAGTGCAGGGTGGGCTGCCGGCGCGGCGCTGCTCCTTCGGCGAAGGCGTCCTAGGGCTCGGGAGGCAGCCCTCGCTCGCCCTATCCACATCGCCAACATCCTCCTCCTCCTCCTCCTCCTCCTCCTCCTCCTCCTCCTCGTCCTCCTCCTCCTCCTCCTCCTCCTCCTTCTCCTCCTCCTATCCGCACGAAGACCCTGCTGGATGGTACCGAGATCTTCGAAACGTACGCCAAATCGCAGGAGGCGGTCAGCTCCAGCGGCCGCAAGTGAGAGAGCCCACTGACAACGCCGAGAGGTGTATTAGCGAGGTTATCTCGGATTGCGACTCTAAGCATGCAGGACGGGCAGACTCAGTGGGACCATCACTAGCGGGGCAATCTCGGCGTAAGGACCCTCTAGAGAGCGCTCGCACAGACAACGTCTTGGGAAGTGATTTTCTAGAGTGCCGACAGGTACACTAGCGCAGGGAGTGAAGAATGGAACAAAATGTGATAACCACGAAGGCCACCAGAGCGCATCCTCGAGGGCCCCACCTTCACCAGACCGTGACTACCAGTATGCTATTCCCTACCTACAGGTCGAGGGGGAACAGTGGGACACGACTTCAGGGTATCAGGGTACAAATACGACAATGCATGGGACAACTATCGGCTCAAGGTACAGATGCGACGACAACGATCGGCCAGTTTGCTCTGAAAGAGAGGTGAGCCGAGAGAGAGAGAGAGGAGAGAGAATAGGATAGCAGAAAACCAGTAAGATAATTAGGCCCCTTGGAAAGCATGGGCCTCCCGATTCTGCTCCCCTTCTCCTTCTGAGCGGTCGTGTCGTCGTCTCTTCCCCCCTGGCTTGGGAGCCCTGCTCGCCCAGGGCGTCCCCCACTCCAAGGGCACGCGGGAGGAATAACAGCGACTCCCCCCGCACTGACCCGCAGGGGCTCGTACTCACAAGGTAGCGAGCCTCTCTTACGGTTACGGGGCCACCGCGGAGCTCACCCCTTGAAGCTTCGGGGTATGCCCCCTGCCGGCCCTAGTGCTCATTCGGGGCCGTTACACAACCCAATCGCAGGGGGTTTTGCCAGACGCGCGCAAGGCAACAGTCTAGGTGTGTTGACGTTGACCCCCTTTATGCGGATGTCATGTCTTGTCCTCCTCCTCCTCATCCAGCCCCAATCCCTATAGATAGCTCCTCATTGTCGCGCGCCCAGTCGTGCACGAAGGGCGGGCCAGGCGTTTCGCCTACAGACTGCCTCTCCACCTACCACCCTGGAGCTTGAAATTCGCAACAGCCTCAAGGCTGGACGGGGGTCAGTGTCAAAGCACGGTTACAAGGATGGTGGACAGGTCGTTTCCAAAATGTTGTTGTCACCTTAGCACAGCGAGCATTCGTCTGACAAGTTTGAATTGAAAGGCCGCTCGCGTTCAACAGTCGGTTCCTTTTCAAAATGCGGCCCTCGCCTGAGCGGCGTGCCCACCTCTTCTGAAAAACCCCACGAGACTTCTGGGCGTGAGTGGTTTAGTGCGCTTCCTCCTCCAGCCCCACTTTTCCCCTTCGTGGAGGGTATCATTGCTCCCTATTCAAAACCACCGCCTCCCCCACACGGCTGACAGCTGACCCAGACCCGTGCGCACACCCCACCACCATGCGTTTCAAAGAACAATGCAAAACATCAAATCTGGAGAATGCGCAAGCACCCCGCGACCACATTGTAGTAGTTTTTGAAAGCGACGGAGGTGGTGCCAGGATATTGCTTGCTGCGCGCAGGCCGAGCACCCCACCCACCATCCTTGCAACAAAAACAATACAAAAAACGTTGCACCAATCCGGATCGTGCGCGGACGCCCCGCGATCACTTTGCATTGGTTTTTGACGGGGACGGCGGGGCGGGCAGCGTATTGCCTGCTCCGTGCAATGCCAACACCCCTCAACCATCCCTTGCCCAAAAATGCAAAATCCGCCGACCCTGTCGGCGTGTGTGAGGGGCTTTTCCGTTCGAGCCGTCATCTCCGTCATTCTTTGTACTCGTCGTCTCTGTCCTTCCCTTTCCCTGGGAGACCTCTTCCCCTGGGCTCCAGCCAAGCCGACCTTGAGCAACCTAGTAATTGAGTCGAAGGGAAGCCCCTTCCCTTTGATCCCTCCCCCGCCGGGAGGGGGGGGGGGTAGCGACCCGAGATTCGGTCTCTTTACAACCAGAACAACCACTTTACAACCAGATGGGTTACTTTACAACCAACATAGGATTGGAAAGTATGGCTTTTCATCGAGAACGTCCACTTTGCAACCAGAACGGCCCACTTTACAACCAGAACGGACCACTTTACAACCAGAACGGGCCACTTTACAACCAGAACGGACCACTTTACAACCAGCTCAGAGTGGCCGCGCGTGTTTGGGCGTTCCGCAAAGTGCTCCAGAGCAAGTGGGCGCTCTGAAAAATGCCCCGAGCAAGTGGGCGCTCTGAAAAATGCTCCAGAGCAAGTGGGCGCTCTCAAAAGTGCTCCAGGGCGCGCGGACGCTCTGAAAAGTGATCCAGAGCACGTGGGCGCTCTGGAGCCCGGGCGCCTGAACTCTTTGCGCAGGCCCCAGCGATGCCTCTGAGCCCGAGGACCTGGACGCTCTGCGCAGGCCCCAGCGATGTCTCTGAGCCCGAGGCCCTGGACGCTCCGCGCAGGCCCCAGCGATGCCTCTGAGCCCGAGCGCCTGGACGCTCTGAGCAGGCCCCAGCGATGCCTCTGAGCCCGAGCGCCTGGACGCTCTGGCGCCCTGAGCCCAGCAGACTAAGACAGGGCTTGCTAGCAGGGGCCAAGCGGCCTCAACAAGGGCCCCGTGCTCGCACGGAAGGCTCAGGGCGACGCGCTGCCCATTTTAGGGGTCACTCACAGGAAGCGGGCCCAGTGGCCTCCACAAGGGCCCAGCGCTCCAGGGAACTGGGCCATTGACACCGCGGGTCTCTTGGGCCACGTTGTCCCCTGAAGCCCCACGGTGTTCTGCAAGGGGCTAAGTGCGCCAGCTCCAGTTGGCCCCCTGCTGCTCCTCGCGTTGGAAGATCGAGGTTCAACGTCCCGAATAAACGCAACTATTTCGAAGATCGTTTCTTCCAGCGTCAGCCACAGTGCCAGCGCAGCAACGCAGGTATCCTGCTCGGGCAGCAGCCTCAGCCACCGTGCCAGCGCAGCAGCTTGAGCCACCGTGACAGCGCATCACCGCCACCTTTGCGCCTGCTACCACCACGCTTACCGCTGCAGCCCCGCTACCTCCACAATTCCGACTGGCCCCCCGCTACTACCGCAAATCCCATTGCAGCCCAGTTACCACCGCAGTTCCCACCGTTGCTTGGCGACCACCACAGTTGCCACCGCAGCTTCCCAACACCATGCAGTTCCCATTGTAGCCCCCGCTGCCACCACATCTCCCACTGCAGCTTTCCACTGCCATGCAGCTCCAGTCTTGGACGGGATCATGGTTTATTCGTATGTCCTGCGCGACTAGCCTTCGCCCGTCAGAAAAAGGCAGAGCAAGCAATGGCAGAACTGACCGACAGAGCTTAGAGAGCAGGTCAAAACTCGAATCCGCCCACCAGCACGCAACATGCCATAGCGCACCAGGCCACCGCATCGCCAACTCGCGCGCAGTGCTTCTTCGTGCGCGATGGGCAACTTTACAACCAACATGCCTCAAAGAGCCCAAAGCCACCCTTGCGCTTGCCCACGGAGATTTCAGGGAACGGCACGCGTGCATTCAATATGTGTTTTTACTTGCCTGGTTGTAAAGTGCCCTTCCTGGTTGTAAAGTGCCCTTCTCGGATTATGTAAGCTGGTTGTAAAGTGACCCATCTGGTTGTAAAGTGCGCTTCTGGTTGTAAAGTGATCCACACGCGTAGCGACCCCCCCCCCGGGTCAGATACGACGCCCCCCCCTGGGACTCCTCTTCCCCTGGGCTCCAGCCAAGCCGACCTTGAGCAACCTCGTAATTGAGTCGAAGGGAAGCCCCTTCCCTTTCATTCCTCCCCCGCCGGGAGGGGGGGGGGGGTAGCGGGGGGGGGTAGCGACCCCCCCTCCGAGTCAGATACGACGCCCCCCCCCCGTACCGACCTTGAGCAACGTCGTCATTGAGTCGAAGGGAAGCCCCTTCCCTTTCCCTTCCCCGACGGGGGGGGGAGAGGAGGTCCCGGGGGGGGTCCCGGGGGAGTCCCGGGGAAGTCCCGGGTCAGATACGACACCTCCCTCCCCCACCTTTTCGTCCTTCTCCCCGTTCCCCCAAACCATCCCACAGCCCGTGCCTCTTGCTGCGCATTGCGAACAGGGTCGGCGGCACCGGCCGTCAGGCCTTCGCAATGCATTTTGCACCAAAATCTGGAATCATGCGCGCACGCCTCGCGCTCAACATTGGTTTTTGACAGGGATGGCGGGGGTGCCTGCATACTACCTGCTGTGTGCAGGCATACCACCCCCATCAACAGAAACAAAAAAACGTCATTTTACCATGGACGGCGGGGACGGGAGGCACAGTGCCTGCTGCGCGCAGGCCCACCAAAAAAATGCAAAGCGATCGTGGGTGCACACCCGCACAAAACCAACCCGCAGTCACTTTGCATTGGTTTTTGACAGGGATGATGGGAAGGTCGATTTACTGTTCAGTCGGGCGTGTCCCCCTACAGTGGGATTTTGGACAAAAAATGAAAATATCCCAAAATGCTATTTAAAAAAAAAAAATGTCAACAAATAGTCCCCATACTATTTTGTTACTCATAGTTGTGAATTTCCCTCCTGTAGAGGTACAGGCCCGACTTAAACTTACTGCCCAATGTGGCGCACGTGGTGCGCGTGGCACACCTGGCATGTGCGGCGCACCTCGCGGGCCTTGGGGGGGGGGGCAGCGACCCATTGAAGCGTTCAGGAAAGCCTCGGCGAAAAGGCACCAATCCATGTTTTCCTTACGTGTTGGGCCAAGTTTGGCCTCCTGGGGGAGGAGGGAGGAAGGAGGAGGTAGGAGGAGGAGGAGGAGGAGGAGGAGGAGGGAGGAGAGGAGGAGAGGAGGAGGAGAGGAGGAGGAGGAGGAGGAGGGAGGAGGAGGAGGAGGAGGAGGAGGAGGAGGAGGAGAGGGGGGGGGGGCAGCGCAAATTAGGATCCCCCCCCCGATTGCTCACCGATGTCATCAAAGATGGCCCCAAGATTGCCCCAATGCGCCCACTATTGCCCCAAGAAGGCCCAAAGAGGCGCTCTCGAGGCCCGAAGAGGTCCCCAAGAGGTCCCAAAATAAGCTCCCAAAAGAGCCCCAAGATGCCCGCCCCAAGATGCTTTCCCGAAGCACCCAAGATGTTCCAAGAGGCCCCCGAACCACCAAGCGGCCCCCAAAACGCCCCAAGAGTACTCCTAGAAGTTCTCAAGAGACATCGGAAGAGCCCTCGAGAGGCATCCAAGAGGCCTTTGGCCTTTCTGGTCGCCCTCCTCCTAAACATCTCTTCCACCACCACCACCACCACCACCATCATCATCATCATCATCATCCTCATCATCATCATCATCACCACCACCACCATCACCACCACCACCACCACCATCATCATCATCATCATCATCATCATCATCATCATCATCACCATCACCATCACCATCACCATCACATCATCATCATCATCATCATCATCATCATCATCATCATCATCATCATCATCATCATCATCATCATCATCATCATCATCGTCATGTTCATCATCATCATCATCATCATCATCATCATCATCATCATCATCATCATCGTCATTATCATAATGATCATAATCATCGTCGTCATCATCATTATCATCATCAGCATCATCCGCACTTTCCTCACGTGATAAGCGCTGAAATATCTCGTCGCATGGTTTTGCAGAGCCTTCCTCGGTTGCGCATTTCATATATTAGAACAAGTGGCTGCAAGAGCTGAAGCTCACTTCTTTGAGTACCGCCTCAAAGAATATGACTGCAGATAGGTTTGTTTTCCAGCCCGTCGTGCTTCTTTATCCCGCATCCCGCTTCTCCGCTATATTACATGTTCCTGCTCCTCCTCTTGCCTCACACCTCCTCCTCCTTATCCTCTTTTCTGGCAACTGGCAATGAAGGTGGGTCCAGGATGTCCTTTTCCTCTTCCCCTCCTCCTCGTCCTCCTCCTCCCTCCCTCCCGACTTTCATCGCTCCTCCTGCCTCCCTCCTCCTCCCTTTTTCACTCCCTCCATCCCTTGCCTCCATCAGTTCCCTCCTTCCCGTGAATCCTTGACGATGCGTGGGGAGCATAGGATTTGCACCTCGTCTTCATCGCACTCGACTGGGCCACAGCCTTCAACAGCGTCGACCCCGCGGCCCTACTGTAAGCTCTGCGCCGCTTCGGGCTGCCCTAACTACGCTCTGCGCTAGAATTTGCGGAAGCTGGAAGTGCTGCCGGTGCGCTGCCAAGCGTCTATTTCGAAGCCCGCAGCCGCCGTTGGCGCCGGCCCACAAAAGGAAAACATCGTCTTCATCGAAGCTCCCCGCCGCCGCCGCCAGCCGCCGCCGACGCCAGCGCCGGCCCGAGGAGAGGGAGAGAGGAGGGGGGGGGACGGGGGTTCGAACCCCCCCCTCCGTCACGGGAGAGGGGGGGGAGGGGTTCGAACCCACCACCCCTTCAATCCAGGGGGTGGTCCGGTTCCAACCCCCGGCCCCCGCTCCAAGCGGCCTCTTTCGAGCTTCATGGTCAGGTTGGACGGGTTGGCCACGCTGAGGAGAAGCAGGAGCAACAGTACCACGAGACGGAAGAGAGGGTTGACCGCGGAGAGACTCGCCTTCATCTGCCGAGCCGAACTCCTCATCTTCATCTGGTCCTGCAATGGGGCGCCGACGACCGTCTTGTCCACGGGAGGTCTTCGGACCACGACACAGCTCGGAAGAGAGCTGCCCGCCAAAAAATGGGACCTGCTCCCACTTGAGCCAAAATGGCAACGGACCTCCTCCTCCTCCTCCTCCTCCTCCTCCTCCTCCTCCCCCTCCCTCCTCCTCCTCCTCCTCCTCCTCCTCCTCCTCCTCCTCCTCCTCCGTCTCCTCCTGCCCCTCCCCCCTCCTCCGACCCTTCTCCCCGCCCCAAAGCCCGAAAACTACAAGGGAACTATCTTTTCACATGGATCCCTGGAAATATTGACCCCCCTCTCGGGACTCGCTCTTCATCGAGAGTCGTTCTCAGCTGCCCCCAAGGCCCATTAAAGGCCCCCAGAAACCGAAAGTGGCGAAAAAACTTCTGCCGAGATTTCTTCACGACCCGATAGTATGGGCATCCGCAACTCCCAAGCTCCCCCTGAAGCCGCCTCCCCGAATTGCGCGGACGCCGTCCTGAAAATTCGTGGCGGTGGCGGCGCACGCCAAGCCTTGGACAGCTCGGCGCATGCCTCGCTAGAGGCCTGCGCATCCGCCTCGGGGGGGGGATGCTGGGAGGAAGGAGGAGGAGGAGGAGGAGGAGGAGGAGGAGGAGGGAGGGAGGAGCAAGGATCAAACTTCGAGACGGGCTCGAAGGGTGGGGGGGCAGGACGAGTACTGCCCGCGCCTACCAGGGGGGATGGTGAGGGGCAGGGGGGGGGTAGGACGGCCACTACCTGCGCCCCCGCGGTCCGCCCTAGCTCGCCACCCCCACCATCCCCATGGCGGAGACGGAGCTTACCCGAGCGCCCAAGGGGCGAAGCAGAGGGCAGCCGAGACATCCCTCACCGACAACAGAAGCAAGCACTAGGCCTGGGGTTCGCCCCCACCGAGGGCAATGTGACCCCTAGCCATAGCGGGACGAGGTGGGGCCGCCACGAACCCCACTCGAAGTCGGTGCATGGAGGCCTCATAAGTGCGCCCACAACCCACACCACAACACCAGCAACAAGCCGACCTCCCAACGACCACAACTCCAGCAACAAGCCGACCTCCCAGAGTCGAGTACCACAGTTTCGAGCACCACAGAGTCAAGCAGTACCACTTTGACCAGCACGACTGAGTCGAGTACCACAGGTTCTAGCATCACAGAGTCAAGCAGTACCACTTTGACCAGCACGACTGAGTCGAGTATCACAGGTTCGAGCACGACCGAGCCAAGCACTACCACGTTGACCAGCACGACTGAGTCGAGTACCACAGGTTCGAGGGCCACCGAGTCAAGCACTACCACGTCAACCAGCACGACTGGGTCGAGTACCACAGGTTTGGCACCACAGTGTCAAGCAGTACCACGTTGACCAGCATGATTGAGTTGAGTACCACAGCTCGTGCACCACAGAGTCAAGCCGTACCACGTTGACCAGCACGACTGAGTCGAGTACCACAGGTTCGAGCACCGCAGAGTCAAGCAGTACCACTTTGACCAGCATGACTGAGTCGGGCGGGTACCACAGGCTCGTGCACCACAGAGTCAAGCAGTACCACAGGTTCGAGAACCACAGAGTCAAGCAGAGTGAAGCAGGGGGCAGCCTGCCCCGCGACGTGGGATACACAGCGCATGGCGCCGAAGGGTGTATCCCCGTCGCCCTCGCGTGACATGCGAGGTGCCGCGGCCAGCCGGCCAGAGGCGGCAAGAGCTGGCCAGAGCGGCCAGCCAGTGCAGGACGAGCTGGAGCCCACGAGCGGCTCGGCGAGCCTCCACAGCGCTCGGCGCCGAAGGGTGGAGGTCGCCAAGGCGGGGGGCAGCCAGCCCCTAGGAGCCGGCGGCCTGCCACTCCACGCCAGGCGCAGCGGCAGCGCAGGCCCAGCCGAAGAGGGGGCAGCCGCCCTCCACAGCGGCTGGGCTCAGCGCTCCGCGCCGAAGGGAGCCCAGCCGCAGCCGAGCGGCCAGCCAGGCCCCGGCCCACGAAGAGGCCGAAGGCCAGGCCGAGCGCCGCGCCGAGGGCGCTGCCTGACGCCCGCGGGCGCGGGCGCGCGCGACTCCCGCCCAAAAACCATTTTGGGCGTTTTTTGTTCAACCTGGCCTCTCTCCCCTCCTCCTCCGAGGTATTCCTCTTTCTCGCCTCGAGGCCGGGTTCCCGGGGCCGCCGTCTGAGTGCCCGCACGGCCCTCGTGGGCTGCTGTGGCGCGCTCCGCGCTCCGGGCGCACGCGAGACGCTGCTCGGAGCGAGAAACGCAGAAACGCAGGGAGGAAGCGACGACGAAAAGAAACCTCAGATGCATTAGCGATGCTGCCGCACACCCTGCCGTCTCCAGTCCCCTGCTCATACGCCCCCTTTCCATGCTGCAGTAAGAAAAACTCTCTTCGAAAAATCCGCACGCTGGCGCCTGCAGTTTTGGCGAGGGCCCCGCTTTGAAAAGGACAGGCTTTGCAGGCCACGTCCTAGCCGCCCACGCGGGCCGCCGCAGCTGCGGTGAGGGCATCGGATGAGGAATGGTTCTGACGCTAATATGAGCGCGGGGAAAAAGGCGAGACAGTGCGCAACGCGTTGGGGGCCTGGGAGGCTTTGCATCTTTTTGCCGCGTAATCAGAAATGCGGGCATTACTGATCACACGATTGAACGAACCACGGAGGTCCCCGGTTCAGAAAAGGACCGTCACCCGTGCACCTGTTGCACAACTCTAAGCTTGTGCCTATTCACTGTCAAGACAAGTTTCAGGCGAAAGCGCCATGCTGAAACAATCAAAAAACGCACAGAATCGGTGCAGTGCTAAATGTGATACATCGCCGGGTGTGTAAAGCTGACGTGGCCCCGAACGGGCAGTCGTCCACATATCTGCTTGTTGTGAAAAAAATATGCGTGGCGGCGGATCGCGAACCAAAGTGTGAAAACAACTTGTCTTCCACCCCCGAAAATGTTGCAGGATTAGGGGGCGAATGTGCGCGGCGCTACGGCGAACGCCGCAGTTTGAGATGAAATCGCCATCTATGGATTCCCACCGAAGACCCAAGTGGCCGAATTCCGCATGGCGTACCCGCCTCCACATCGGCACACCCCTCACAGACATCGTCCCACCGCGGGACATCCCATCGAGGCCCCACTGGCAGAGTCCGCATGGCGGCCCCACCCCCAACTCGGCACATCCCTCCCACGCTGCGTGGCCCCATATGGGCCTCAGCCGCGGGCTCAAGTGGCAGGGTCCGCATCGTGTACCTGCCCCTGATCGGCACACCCTGCACACGTTTCGTGTCCCCACGAAGAACTTCACCGAAGGCCCCACTGGCAGGGCTCGCGTGGAACACCCGCACCCAGCGCGGCACACCTCTCACACGCGTCGCCCCTCGCACGCTCCGTGGCCCCCTGGGGACCTCCACCGAAGGCCCCAATGGCAGGACTCGCGTGGCGTACCCGCCTCCATGTCCGCCCGCGCGCGCTCCAGACGGCTCGTGGCCCCACAGGGCGCTACACTGAAGGCCCTCACTGGCAGGTTTGAAGGGGCCCTGGGACACACAAATAAATACACACAAATAAAAAATATTCCCCATATTTTCCAATATTTTCTGGGTTTTTGTCTTCCCGCCCAATTCCCATATTTTCCCATATTTTCCTGGGAATCGACGATTAATTGTGTCTGTGTGTTTTTTCCCCTCCTGAAGGTTGCGCACAGCGGCCCCGCCCGACTGCGGCACTTGTTTTGCCAGCGGCCGCGGGGGATCAAGCAGCGCTCGGGCAGCGGCGGGACGCGCCGAGGCGAGTTGCGGCACGGAGAGGCCGGGGGAGGCGCGCGCGGGGCGCGAGGAGGACGCGAGGAGGACATGCTGAGGGCCCTGGGGAGAAGAGAGCCACGCCCAGGCCATGTAAGCCTTCACGTCCATTCGAAATCTCACACCCAAAAAAAAAAAAAACGTGAAAGATCAGAACGGAATCAAGGACCCGGAAAGTACGGCCCGAGGGCGAGGCCGACCACGAAGCACCGGCAACGGCGACGAGGTCGAGGTGGACTGAAGAAAGGCCAGGTAAGACCTCCGCACTTGACGGCATGGGAAGACCAGGCGAGGACCAACGCCCAGGGCAAAAGTCAGAACCGCCGTAGCACAGCCAACGACGAACATGATCAACTGAATCTGGCGCTACAGCACAGGCAAACCCTGACGGAAACGCGACACTAAATGAACGCGAGTACGGTAGCCTCCAGGACGTGGAAGGGCAGTGCAGCATCCGGGCCGGAGAGCCGGACGGCGGCCGGTGCTGGTAGCAGCTGAAAAATTCCGCGGGCCAGCCGACGCCAGCGGCGGGCACGACGCTGCGGCCCTGGGGGATGGGGGTGAGGAAAGGGGGCGGTACTGGCAGCGCTCACTGCGCTGAAAGTTAAGTCCGAGTGATCAGGGGCCTCCAGGACGCGGCGACCGGAAGGGCGATCGAAACTGGGCACCTGGGCGGCGAAAAACCGAAGCATTCTGGAGGAGGGAAAGACAGGATACGCGTGAACGTCACCAGCACCAGGCCCAGGTGAGCCCACCCCCGAAACTAGAAAACGCGCAGCGAGAGACCAGGACCAGGAAGGCCCACCCGCAACTGGCCACACTTTACCACGAGGGGGAAACCAGGACCAGGGGAGCAAAGCCCAAGCGCAAACGCTGGCGCGACAGGACAAAAATCCAATAAAGACCGACTTGCACCAGGCCCCAGGACGAGCGCGCCTGGGGCTGGGGTGCCCGAGCGCCACCCCGACAACGGGGCACACTGGGCGCGTCTTCTGCACTGCCAACCCCCGCACTCGTCCGGCCCCAGGTTGGCGCAGGTTCCCAAGACGTCTGCGGGCACGACGCCCAGCCCGAAAGACAACCTGCCCCCGGCGCGCCGCGAGTGCCAGAGCGCCCAGCGGCCCGCGGCCAGGCCTCCTGGGGGCCTCCTTGGCGCGCACGCGCGCATCGTCTGCCTGGGCGTCTCTGTCGCCCGCCAGACGGGGCAGGGGAGGGGCCCGGGGCGCGGGAAACGATAGCTTCGACGTCTGCGGTTCGAGACTGCAGGGGGGGCCGGGGGCCGCCAGCGACATCGTCGACCAGGGCACTGGGACGGTCGCGGGGTACAGGGCGGCGCGGGCGCGGTTGGGGCCAGGGGGGCAAAGCGCGCCATCGACGCGCAGAGCGGCGCGGGCGCGGGGCGCGGGGAGCCGGACGCGCCGTTTTCAATATCCCTTGCCAGGGCCCCCTCTGCGGGAACACCGTCGTCGCTCTGCAGGGGCGCGCATCGGCCTTCATTCAGCCGGTCGGCGGCGGCGTCTGCCTCCTGGGAGGAAGGAGACTGCGGCCGCGGCATCTACCCGTGCGCCGTCGCCACCAGAAGCCCCTGCCGCCTGTCAGGAGCACCCGAAATGCAGAGGGGCCGTTAAACCCCCGCGCGGCGCCCCACGGATGGGCCGAAGACGGCATCGCATTGGTTGGTCCCCTGCCGCACACCTCCCAGACCCGGCCTCTGTTTTCACTTGGCGCAGTCGTGTGACTGCGATGGGCGGTATGCGGGCGGGAAAAACCAGCCCTCGGCAGCCTGA